CGACTCCTGGTCACGTCCTAACCCCCAGACCCCCGACCTCTAAACGGGAACCCTTCTGCTACGCATTCGGGAAAACAACATAGGCCAAGCTTTCAGCTTGAAGTGCAACTCTCTAGCCACGGCACAGATGAACCCAGTCGTAATGCTCCATGTTCCACGTCTCCATCCACGTGTTGGCACCTGGACAACACCACCCGTGCCATGACCGCTTGCTCCCCAAGTGAAGTTTGGGGAGGTAGGAGTTTTGAATCTGAGGCCGGCAAAGCTGCCTTTGCAAGCTCGGACTTCTAGTCAACTCACAGGAAATGAACGGAACTCAGCTCGAAGCATCCAAGACGAATGACCCCGGCACAAGAGAAGCATCCAGCGGCCCGCCTGGCTCCAGACGATATGCGTCTGCCAGCGCATACCAGCCACAAGCTATGACATGGTTCACCTGAGCCGAGGAGATATCTAGCCACTGAACTGCAGGTGTATGGTATATCGCCTCACTTTCATATATCGATTCTCACTTTTCTCGACGATCTCATGGCTGAAGATCTCACACTGCAAGTCAACACCTTGACTCGCTTCTTTCTGCGGCTCTGGGGCTGTAAACAGCAGCAGCATCATCTTGAAGATGTTGAACAGCACCTCACGGAGACTCTGACAGCCCCCAAACCTTCCTTCTCACTGGCTTCTTGAAGCGGCCAGAACCGCGGCCCCGTCCCGTCTCCAGGTCTTGCTTGGCATTGAGCGCGAGCAGATCACGGACCCAAGCTTAGGTGTTTGGCTGGGAAAAGAGCCCCATGGAGATGGAGGGCTGACTGACCACCCCTGAGTAATACAGCCCGCGGAATGATGAGGGATCCCGCGGGAAGAAAACTTTTCACCAAACCGACCCAGCGTCGATCTTTTTTTGCCAAACCTCTATTTGCATCAAGGATCTTCGCCAACCCATCCACGTGACACCTGAAGCAAGGCCTCCCCCAGTTCCTGCGGCCTTCACCTTCTCACCTGGCCCCGGCCTTCAACTCCGGGCTCAGTCCCAATGCAAAACAATCCAGCTTCAGCCAGCAGCCCAGCCAAGCTTCACACAGAGCCAACGTGGCCCAGAGGTCGCCAAGCCAATTTCACACAGCTTGGGGTCGCTGTCAGCCTCAAAACAACTAGGGCGTGAATCCGTTCCTTTGCTGGCGCCTGCAGCGTTCCTTGTTTACATTGCGGGGGAGTGCCATTTTATTCTCCGCCCTCGCGCGCCGCAGTGTTCCCTGATTGGCCAAGGCGGGCAGCCCAGCGTTTATCGAGGGTTGACACTGCGCCCAGGCACACTGTAGTACTCGGAGTCCAAGGCATCCTCGATCTGCTCGAAGAGACCTCTGGCTCTTCTATGAGCCACAGTATTCGTTCCCCCGGCACGGGTATGTGTGTGAGGGTACCCTGTTCACATTGGCCAGGGATACCAAGCTTTGGGGTTGGTCAGTAAGTTCCCGTGCACTCACCCCCCATCGGAGCGGGCCAGCTCGACCCGTGAAATGAATGTACTCTTTGCATGCGCTTTTGCGTCAAAAGGACCCCCTTTGGCCCTACGGAAACCAACATGGGTATGGGTCAAATACAACCAGGGAACCGCAGGTTTGAGTCTTTGGTTCCATTTACCAGGGTTCCATTTTGGGTACGCATTTTTGACCCATGGCCAAGTGAAACCAATTTGGGGGGTCAAATCCAACATGAAGCTCGGCCAAGCTGCGCTTCAGCCTCACCAGTCTCAGCAGTCCTTGGCGCGGAAAAGCCGTCGGCCGTCGAACCCCTGCTCCAAAGGGGTGCATGGGAGACCTGCCCGTTCTACACCAGCGTTCTGTTCCAAGACACAAGGTGTAAATGCAAATGCAGGGCCACAAAATGTCACAAGCCATAGCCATGGACGCAGTTGCCCCGCTTGAAGCTGCCCAGTGACTGCCCGGCCACCACAAATCAGCCAAGCTTCTGGGCTGCTTTCTAGCGCAGGCTGTGCCACTCCGATAATCAAACGGGAACAAACATGAGCGGTTCAAGGCCCTAGCAAATCATGTCTCTCACAAAAATCACCGCTGCGCTCCTCAAGTTGGGCCTTTGGCTCAGCCGGGCAATACGATGGGCTCGCTCTCTCCCGTCCCGCCGCGTTTGACTGCCATTTTGCGGCCCAGCGGCGCACCACTCGCGCCAGCCTGCAATGTACAAGCTGCGCTTCACTCTCAAGGACCAAGCAAGGGAAAATCCCTGAAAAGCTAAAAACTGGTGGAAAACTGTATGTGAAGTTGTGTGTGTCCAGTGCCTCCATCGACATATTCAGCTCTCTATAATTCCGAAGCCCCGTCTTGGCACTGTCAAGCCCTGCTTTGGCTCTTGCGTTAAATCCCGCAAGATGCGACACTGCCTAGGGCCAACATTTGCAGCAGTTCCTCCCCTGCAACTCAGCTCCTCTACCAAACCCCTCCCTCTAGGCCCCCCCTTCATCTAGCAAACCTCCTGTTTGGCCCACACGAGTCGGCGATGCCTTGCCATGCCCCGTGTACCGCACGCAGCCATGCCCCGCACCTGACAATCCGGGGCATCTTGCTAAGGTCCGCCATCGCCTCGGCCGAAACGCCGCCGCGTCCGAGAGCCGCCGTCACGTCTCTCCCTACCCTCCCATCAATTAACGTGGAACCTGACGTTCGGCGGGTTCCGGAAGACAGTCTTCCTTTTGAAGGGACCCCCCTGTCAGGTTCCATGTTGATTGGTGGGAGGGTAAGTCGCTCGGCAACAGCTGAACCAAGTGGCGATGTTTGAAATCTGACAGAGCAGTCCGACCACACAACATACTCTGCATAGATGCCTGAACTCAAAGCGCCATCAACTGGGGAGCGGACTTCATTGGTTGAATCCGTTGCAATGATTGTAAACACCTAAGTGTCAGGCACCAACGGTACACCAGGCAACTCAAGCGTTTGCTGGTCAAAGAAGCGCACCGACGTGCCAACAGGCACACACAGGCACACAGGCACGTAGGAACCCAGGCACACAAGCAAGCGACAGACACACACGCGCACGCACACACGGGCACAAACACCCAAAGAACCAAATACAGACACAAACACCAATGCTCCAGGTATCTCTCACATGCATACCCACATGGCCTTTTTTGCGCCGAATCACGTCCTTTTCACTGGATCCCCCCTTCCGGGAAGATTTGCAGAATACGTCCAAGGGATGGTCCATTCGTGGCGAATGCAAACCCCACAGGCTCCTCCGAGCCCGGAGCCCAGTCTGGACCAAGCACCACGAAGTCCACGATCTGAGCTGCCACAGTCTGAACACTCCAAGGCGTTTCGGACGTCTGGCAACTCGTCTTTAAAACCAGCAAAAAAACACTGCTTGTTGCAGCCTCCTAAAAATGAACAGAACCAAAATCTCAAAAAAAGTGCCAACAACTGTGGAGTCATGGAGATCCATTTCGGTTGGTAGGAAGGGTCTGGAAAAGCCCCAAGTTGTGTTTCCGAAAGGAAAAAACATGGAGGGAGGCGAGCCAAATCACTCTCCAACTGCCAACCGAAACAACTCAGGGTAAATATCGCAGCGCCCTGCCAATGGTTTGCAGAAGCTTGGCGGTTTCCTTCCCGAGCATGAGCTGCTGCCAAAGTGCACACCATGTCTTCAGGTATCGCTTGGCCTCGGCTTGGAACACATTTTAAAAAAAGAGGCCTGCGCCAGCTCACATGACACATGCGGCTTTCGGGATGCTGGTGTCGACGAATTTAGCATGGTGCCATACAGGCTTAGCTTGTTAAACAAATCGATAAATACAAACAGAATAATATGAAATTGATTAGTTAATAAATATAGATTTAATATAGATATAGAAGGACATTTATTAATATAATATTTAGATATTGAAATAGATATTAGCGATATTTATTTCCCTTGATACCGAAATACCTAATGTCATACAATAATACCTACATAAAAAAAAAAAGAAGAAGAAAAAAAAAAAGCTCTGGCCCAAACTGCCTCACGCCTTTCTGGGACCAGATCCTAGTGTTCAGCATGTGCAATCCGATGCCACCCTGCCGGCGCCACCGGTGGATGTGGTGCTGCGCGGTCGGCCCATCGGGTTTGCACCTGCTGCCAAAACGACCCCCCATACCGGTGCTAAACTCCCAAACGAAAGACTAGGCAGAAATCAGCCGGCATGTGGGCACTTATGGGCGGAGGTTGATGTTGAGCATAGAGCCAGGATGTGGCTGTCTTGTCCCTGGAGTCCAGAATGCATTCATTGCAACAGGGTTCGCGAGGTCGTGAGAAAATTGCGCGATGCTCAGCAACTTTCTGGCGAGAAATGGAATGAACCCCACAAACCATCCAACTGGTGGCCGCCTCCGTGCGAGAGCCCCGTTGAGGAGTGGCGAGCAGCTTGGAACGACGTTGTCGATTTTCACGCCGGTCTGGTCAATCAGCAACGAGACCCGGGTCTCGCTTCCCTTCTGCAACAGGACCTTGCGTGTTTTTGTTTTTTTTAAGCACTTCGGGATGGATGCCAATGCCTCTTGGCCGTTGCAGACAGCCAGGCGCAGACCGCTTCCCACATGCCTCTTTTCGATGCCGTCATTTCAGCGGACGCTTCGGATTGGGGTTGTTTGGCACAGCGCGTCACGCTTTACAATCTGGCTGCCCGTTCACTGGATGCTGCACCTAGTTTCCTCCGGATCTGGCTCACCCGCTCTGCGCGGCAAGCACAGCTGCTGAACCACCTTTACAACCTGGAAGACAGCTACGTCCCCTGCCAGCATCAAGCCGATGCAACTTTTCTTTTTCCGCCCTACCCTCGCACGAGTTACCTGCACAGTTCGCGCCGCAAGGCTGCTGATTGCGAGGTGTTCGATGCTGGCCACTTTCTCTGCAATGGGCTCAATCGGACCCGTGCCGGGATTGCGTTTCCTTGCGATGGGCTAGTAGTACAGGTTTCAACCATCACTTTGCGTGAAATTTACGGCACCTTGAATTCACTTCGGGTATCCGGCGCCAGGCTCATATCGGGCGAACTGGCACGACTGCGCTGCACTGCCGCGCGTCTGTGCCTCGCGAACCCGTCCGAGCTAAACATTGCCTTCATTAAGGCAATGTTTCGAGGGGAAATATAGGGAGCCCTGTCCCTTGCCTTGCTGGCGCGTTAGATAGAGGAGTGACCGAGTCCGGGGTTTGAGTTCAGGGGGTTCCCGAACTCAGAGCGGAGCAAGGGTACCAGCCGCGCGAGGGTGCGAAGGACCCCAGTGTGCAAATCGCCAGGACTCAGAACTCTGCCGTCCCTAGGTCACCGGTACAAGGTGTCGGAGCCAGACCTTAAAAAAAAAGGCCTGCTGCTGAAAACCGCCAAAACGAGAAACAAGACCAAAAAAAGGGACCCCTCTGAGGGGGGCGGTTTGCTTCTCACCGGGCCCTGACAAAAAGCAAAACTAGTCACACAGTCGAGCCGCGATAAGGTGCGGGTCCATGATGGTGTTGCCCTCCTGCACCTCGGACAAGGCAGGCAGGAGCGTCGGACCGCCCTGAAACGAAGCTGGGAAGGGGGCTCGCTCGTTGTGGGAACAGTTTTGGGCGTGGCAACATGTCCTTGTTGTGTTTATGTTGATGAAGTTGTTTCAAAAAATGGTGGCTTACATATACATATATATATATACATTATATACACAAAGACAAACCCAATGGTTTTCACAAGAACCCAATGCTGGCGTCGATCTTCACTTTGCATGCGCTTGCAAGGTCGGGACCATGCCAAGCTCAGCTGGAACCCTCTGCAATCCACCAATGCCAACCCCTGCGCCCCTCTGCACCTGCACGCCACCAGCCCCGCGACCGCGAGCTCCCAGCCAGTTCTGGGATCCGGACGTAGCCAGTGGTCAGCGAGGCTCCCACATTGACCGTCCAAAAGACCAGCGTGATCCTGGCGGCTGCGCGATGGAAAGGTAGCAAACATCGTACATGTTGGTTCTGTCAGGCCCGTGTGCGGACTTGCCTTCCCTCCAGTCAATCCATTGGTGTGCCAAATTGACAGGCTGTGAAGTCAAGGCATGCACTGCTTTGCGCCACGTGACGTGACGTGACTCTTTGACTCTCCTGACCGCATGGGAGACACCTTCATTGCTGCCAAGGGGCCAATCCATGGCCAGAAGCGCTGGGGTTTCCGGAGGACTCAGTGGAACGCTCTCGCGCTCTCTCGCTCCAGGCTCTCCGCGGAGCCGTGTCTTAAGCTTACAGCCTTTGCGCCGAGGGCAAAAAAGCCGAGCCAGGCGGCGAAAGGTGGCAGCCAAGATTGCTGTTGGGTTGAGGTTGCTTGCTGCAGGAAATCCGTGCCGAAGCATTCTGCTTCTGTGACACACGCTCATGCGACAACTGGCTCGTGAGGTCTTCCCATGCAGCCTGGCCGCTTAAAGGCCTGCAACGGCACCGCGAAAAGGTCGTACATGATCAACATGCCGCCAATCATGTCCTGCGGGCACGTGCGCACATGCGGATTGCCCTGTTTCAGACCAGCTGGAGACCAAAGAATCCAACTGGACCCTGATGAGGAAGCCAATGCTTGACCGGTCGCCGGTAAGCGTTCTTGGAGGTGCTGGAATCATCACATGACCCGAGAGAGGTCGAACAATCCCAGTCCCATGCGAGGCGGTGCAGGCTGCTGGGGTAGGAGATCAAGGCTCGCCTCCAGTTGATCCCGGCCTTGGGAAGCACATTTCACTGTGACCCTTGCCCCTGCCCTGACAAAAGCCCTTTTACCTTGTTTTACCACGCAAAGTGGGAGATCACACATCGCACCACCCCAAAATGTCGCCCAGTCTTCCTTGTCAAAGCTTGTTGCAAGTCCCTTGAACCTGGCAGCCCTCGAAGTCCACATTCCTTCGGGCTTCGAGGGTCCTGTGCTGAACCCCCGTTGGGCGCCTACCCAAGGCCCCCGGCGGAATCCGACGTGGGCAAGTTCCCGTCACAATCCTGGCCCCGCGCCTCGGAGCGAGCGAGCCGTTGTCTGAGAAGAGAGCGCCTCCCAAAAAAATCCCCTTGAAGGCAAGGCGTCTTGCAGACGGCGGGGCTTTGTGGCCCTGTTGCACTGGGTGGCCGCGTCGTAAGAGAAAGAAAGACAGAAAGAAAAAGAGATGGGGGAGATAAATAGATAGAGAAAGGAAGAGGGAGAGGGAGAGGGGGAGATGGGGAGATGGGGAGGGGGAGAGGGACGGAGAGGGGGGAGGGAGAGGCAGAGGGAGAGGGGGAGGGAGAGGGAGAACTAGCAAAAAAAACAGAAAAAGGAAAGAAAGAGAAAGAGGAAGAGGCCTCCTGGACATGAAGCGTGCCGGTCACAAAGGATCGCGGCACGAAGAAACCGGGCAACTCAGCCAAGCCACCAAGGAGGACAAGTCATCTCCGTCCAAAGACTTGCCTCGGATGGACCAAGAGGTCGGGCAATGTGCGACAATTTCCATTTCGCACCAGTCGGGATGGAGGCAACTCATTGAATATTGGGATAAACCGGGATTCTGTCCTATGAATACTGGGATAAACCAGGATTCTGTCCATCCAGAACAACCGTGGAATGAGCCACGCCACAAAAGCTGTAGAACCCTCTGCACGGCTAAGCTCTTGAATGATGGATGCTCAGAGCTCCCTTAGCTCACTAACCTGCATTGCTGTTGGGTCGCCTGAATTGACGATGTGTGGCCAGCTGTGGTGGGCAGGCAGATCAAGTCAGGACTTGAAGAATCTAAGCAGAGATCAGCTTGCAATCAGGCAAAACCTGCAAACCGAAAGGAAAGCCAAAGGCGGGGAACGAGAACATCTCAACAGCTGCCCTGCAAACCTGTAAAGGCGGGTGGACTACCTCGACCGACGTCAATGTTGTTGCATGAAAACGACAGGTTCACTGCAGGCCAACCCTTCGCCACAGGACTCCCGCGACCGTGGGAGTTCTTTATTTCTTCGAGGCCTCGCGCGCATGAGGTTCGGGTCCAAATCAACCATGCTCCTAGCTGCCTGCAAGTCCTTCTTTCCCAATTGTGTCCCACCCAAAGCAGGCAAGATGCTCTTGCTGGTGGCGCGCCGCGTCAGCCGCACGGTCTGCCTAGGGACCATCCCCACCGAAATGGCCAGGCTCCATGTCGCGGCCCCACTTTGCCTCTACGGATGCTGGACCTCTTCCATTGAGCAACTGAGCTCACTCCAAGTGTCAGCCGAAGCTATCAATGAAAGACACCGACATGCCGAATCACTCCCCCCCAAAAAAGGTGCAAGCTTGTCCTCTGACAAGCTTCACCGCAGCTTCCCGAAGGGTCGGCCCGGGGGGGGTGCAGCCGTCTTCGCCAAGCGACACCTTGCTTTCGCTGGCCCAGAGTCGGCGCAGCGGGAAGCGATCCTGGCCTGTGGGTCCTGGCGCACAGATCCGCAAGGGCTTCGCATGGCTCTGCGGCCGATTTATCAGCTCATTGGTTGAATGATCAAGGGAGGGAGTCCCTGGTTTGGGGGGATGCGGGATTTATCAGTTCTTTGAATGATCCTCAAAGGGTGTCCCTGGTCTGGGGGATGCGGCTCAGGGCCCGAGAAGCTCCCAAATCCCGCTGGAGCTCGGGCAACATGACGCGCAGCCAAAACGACTGCCGCAGAATATGCCTGTTGAGAACAATGGCTGGAACCACGTGAAGCTGCAAGAAGATCGAGGCAACAGTTAAGCACGACCGCACATCCAAAAGGCTCGAAAGCTGTCGTCGACCGCGCCTAACCGACCACGAGGCTCATCATCTGGCAAAGCTAAGCGTCGTATGGGGCTCACCTCGGAAAACAGCAAAGCAACGGGGCCTCACGCTGCCGTGTTGATCTTGCTTCTTTGTAAATGTGTGTATGTGTGGGTGCGTGGAGCATGTGTGTGTGTGTGTGTGATGCTAACGACAGGGGCCAACTATTTCAGAAAATGCTCTTCGACAGACGTTTTGGGACGCTTTAAG